ATGAAGGAGGGTAAATCTTCTGGAGGGCAAGTGGATAATAGTAACAAGTACACACTACAGAGGGATACACTTTATTCATATTTCACGTCTGAGGTTTACAACCACTTTAAAGTACTGCTGCTTCCTCTGTGAGTGGGACAGTCGTGCGAGAGAAATGCACTATACCAAAAGAGACTGGCCATTACGCCAGTCATTGCAGCCTGGAGAAAAAAATGTTAACTATCCAGCACTTGTAGACAGCAATAAGATCTTATTACCTCCATTACACATCAAGCTGGGATTAATGAAAAACTTTGTTAAGGCAATGGACAAGAATAAAGCAGGTTTCAAGTACCTGATTAGCAAATTTCCAGCACTTAGTGCTGCAAAAAAAATAAAGTTTGTTGGGCCACAGATTCGTAAACTTATTCATGATGATGAGTTTCTTTCTCTGTTGCGTGGAAAGGAAAAGGCTGCCTGGACAGCATTTGTATCAGTGACATCAAATTTTCTTGGAAACAATAAAACACCAGACTACAAGAAAGTGGTAGAAAAACTCATCCAGACTTACAGAAATCTGGGTTGCAACATGTCTCTAAAAATTCATTTTCTACATTCGCATCTGGATTTTTTCCCACCAAACTGTGGAGCAGTGAGTGATGAACACGGAGAGCGCTTCCATCAAGACATTGCAGCTATGGAAAGAAGATATCAAGGTAAATGGAGCCCATCAATGCTTGCTGACTATTGCTGGACAGTTGTAAGAGATAGCCCTTTCCTCGAATACAAGAGAAAAGCCAAGAGAAGCAAAACCGACACAAACTGAAGACAAAACTAGTGAGAATCCTAAGTATTAAAATGATTCAACTTAGTTTATGGCTATAATTTTTCTTGGTAATCCTATGCAATATATTATGCCATTTAGGCTTTGTTATGTAGTCAATATCACTTGCTTTATATTTGTGGAAAGACATCTATCTATATAATTATTGTGCATTAAGTAGTCATTACGCCTATAGTAGAAAACTTTCCGTTTACAGAAAAACTAGAGCCAATTGACAAATTTCATTGTTATATTTGAACTCAGAATGTGAAATTCATTAAGAAATGGATCCTTTTGTTTCCAAAACTGGCAAAAAATAAAAATTTGTTGAACAGTGTAATCGGTAGTAATTCTAGCACCAGACCTGCTCCGTAAATCTAAAGAGACAACCTGTAAAGGCTTTTAAAGCATTGCCTATGGATAGTAATTTTTAGTCGTTTGTCACCATTGCATGGCGATGCACAATTTTAAAGCGTGACATGTTTGGTATCTATATACTAGTTGTAACATCATCTTTTATATTTTACAAACAATGGGTTATGCATTGTGGGGGTTTTTTTTGCAATAAAATTCAAAAAAGTGTATTTTTTCCCCACCATTTTTTTCTCTAGGGCCACTGCTTGCAGTGTCACTATTGGTAGTATGAGGTGAAACCTGGACCCTATAGAGGCTGCACAGGCAGTCCAACTCCTCCAGGTTGGCACATCAATACGTGCCATTGCCAGAAGGTTTACTGTGTCTCCCAGCATAGTCTCAAGAGCATTGAGTAGATTCCAGGAGACAGGCAGTTACTCTAGAAGAGCTGGAAAGGGCTGTAGAAGGCCCTTAACCCATCAGCAGGACCAGTATCTGCTCCTTTGTGCATGGAGAAACAGGATGAGCACTGCCAGATCCCTACAATATGACCTCCAGCAGGCCACTGGTGTGAATGTCTCTGACCAATTAGAAACAGACTTCAAAAGGGTGGCCTGAGGGCCCGACGTCCTCTAGTGGGCCCTGTGCTCACTGCCCGGCACCATAGAGCTCGATTGGCATTTGCCATTGAACAACAGAATTGGCAGGTCTGCCACTGGCACCCTGTGCTTTTCACACATGAAAGCAGATTCACCCTGAGCACATGTGACAGACATGAAAGGGTCTGGAGAAGACGTGGAGCACATTATGCTGTCTGTAACATCTCTCAGCATGACTGTTTTGGTGGTGGGTCAGTGATGGTCTGGGGAGGCATATCCATGGAAGGACGCACAGACCTCTACAGGCTAGACAATGGCACCCTGACTGCCATTAGGTATCGGGATGAAATCCTTGGACCCATTGTCAGACCCTACGCTGGTGCAGTGGGTCCTGGGTTCCTCCTGGTGCATGACAATGCCTGGCCTCATGTGGGTGAGAGTATGGAGGCAGTTCCTGGAGGTTTAAGGAATTGATATCATTGAATGGTCCCCACACTCGCCTGACCTAAATTCAATAGAACATCTCTGGGATATCATGTTTCGGTCCATCCGACACTGCCAGATTGCACCTCTGACTGTCCAGGAGCTCAGTGATGCCCTGGTCCAGATCTGGGAGGAAATACCCCAAGACACCATTCGTTGTCTCATTAGCAGCATACCCTGATGTTGAGGCATGCATACAAGCATGTGGGGGCCATACAAACTACTGAGTACCATTTTGAGTTGCAATGAAACTTCAGCAAAATGGACTAGCCTGCTGGATCATTTTTTCACTTTGATTTTCGGGGTGTCTTTGAATTCAGTCCTCTGTAGGTTGATCATTTTCATTTCCATCAAACGATCGGGCACCCTTACATTCCTAACACATTACCCAGTCCATATCAGTATAGATATCCAGCATGAGATTTTTCCCCATTGAGATCTGATGTGTTTTCAAAGTGTTCCTTTAACCACTTGCCAACTTCACTATAGCCGAATGGCGGCTCCCAGAACATGCCATCCCGCGTGCCCCCAGGCACCTAGCGCTCTCCGTGATCGCTGTGTCCTATGGATACAGCTGATTACATGATGAAGTAAAAGGCCAATCACAGCGGCCTTTTACCACCTGATCAGCTGTGTCCAATGACACAGCAGATCACCAATTAAATACAGTTGCTGTGTGACAGTGTGAGGAAAGTACTGCCGATAACCAGCAAATGTCACAGAACAGATCGGCACTGATCATCAGGGCACTGATGATCAGTGCCCTGATGATCAGTGCCCAGCAGTGCCGCCCAGCAGTGCCACCCACCAGTGCCCAGAAGTGTCACCCATCAGTGCCGCCAGTCAGTGCCATCAGTCAGTGCTGTCAGTGTCGCCAGTCAGCATCGCCCGTCAGTGCCACCCATCAGTGCAACCTATCAGTGCCCATCAGTGCTGCCTATCAGTGCCGCCTATCAGTGCCCATCATTGCTGCATATCAATGCAGCTTCATCTGCCTGTCAATGCCCATCAGTGCTGCCTATCAGTGCCGCCTATCAGTGCCCATCATTGCTGCATATCAATGCAGCTTCATCTGCCTGTCAGCCTCATCAGTGCAGCCTATCAGTGCCCATCAGTGCTGCCTATCAGTGACCATCAGTGCTGCCTATCAGTGCAGCTCATCAATGCACATCAGTGAAGGAGAAAAATTACCTGTTTGCAAAATTTAAGAAAATTTTTTCCAAATTTTTGCTCTTTTTTTGTTTATTGCGCAAAAAATAAAACACCCAGCAGCGATTAAAACCCACTAAAAGAAAGCTCTATTTGTGTGAAAAAAATGATACAAATTTCATATGGGTACAGTGTTGCATGACCGTGCAATTGTCATTCAAAGTGCGACAGTGCTGAAAGCTGAAAATTGGCCTGGGCAGGAAGGGGGTAAAAGTGTCCGGTAGGCAAGCAGTTAATTCTTTGGAGCGGTGTATGTGAAGTTTGGGGGGTTCTAAGTAATTTTCTAGCAAAAAAACCCCCAATTGTTACATGTGAACAAAAAGTGCCAGAAATGTCCCAGACTGGAAGTAGTTATTGGGTGCTTCTGGGGTCTGCAATCCCACCCTATGGAGTCAGGGTGAGGGTGGGGTCTCCCCATTGGGTGAGCGTGGGGTCTCCCCATAGGGTGAGGGTGGAGTCTCCCCATTGGGTGAGGGTGTGGTCTCCCCATTGGGTGAGGGTGGGGTCTCCGCATAAGGTGAGGGTGGGGTCTTCCCATTGTGTGAGGGTGGAATCTCCCCATTGGGTTATGGTGGAGTCTCCCCATAGGGTAAGGGTGGGGTCTTCACATTGGGTGAGGGTGGGGTCTCCACATTGACTGAGGGTGGGGTCTCCCCATTGGGTGAGGGTAGGGTCTCTCCGTAGGGTGGGGGTGTGGTCTCCCCGTAGGGTGAGGTCTCCCCGTAGGGGTGAGGGTAGGGTCTCCACATTGGCTGAGGGTGGGGTCTCCCCATTGGTTGAGGGTGGGGTCTTCCCCATAGGGTGAGGGTGGGGTCTCCCCATTGGGTGAGAGTGGGGTCTCCCCATTGGGTGAGAGTGGGGTCTCCCCATTGCTATGTTGGTCTTGCGTTACTGATGAAAACGGAAAATCACGGCGTTAGGTAGGTCATTCCCAGCCGTGGCCACTAGGGGGCGGCTACCCATCGTGCCAGTAGACGAGGCAGCACGATCGCTTTCACTTGTGTGCTCTCTGGCAGTCCCCACCCTGTGATGTGACAAGGAGGGGAGGGAGATACAGGTTAAGAGTCAATCTACATGGATGTGACAATATCCACGTTATCAAGCTGCGGGACAACGCCACTCCTCCATCACAAGGACATCAACTCAATGGGAATGAGGGAAAACAGAGCAATCCACAGACAATAGCTGGATCCCCTCCCCTCCTCCTCCCTGTGTACTGAGGCTGCTGGGAAGGATCGGTGGAGGCGAGGAAGTGCATCTTTTTTTATCATCTGCCATTGCTTTGTGATGATCTGTGCGGTGGATGTGCGGGCTCATCATCCGGCTTTATTGTGACAGCAGCCTCCTACTGTTCTGATGGAGGGGGGCACAGTGGCATATACATGGCTGGTGAGTGGAGGTGCAGGGATCGGGGGTGTCACCGCTGTGTGCACATTGGGGAGCGTTGTCATCCATCACAGGGAGTGATCTAAGGTGGAGGGTGTCATGTCATGCCTAGGACTATGATGCACCATCGCTGACATCCCCTCCTTCCCTCACTGTTGATCATGATGATGGCAGCAGCAGCAGGAAAGGATGGCTACAACAACAGCTGTGACTTGAAGACTGCTAGGCTATGGAGGGATGCCGCCCTGCGTTCCAGGAAGCTGAGGAGCAGCCTTAGACAGCTCACCCTGAGTTGTGGGGATCAGGACAAGCTCATCCTCCCTGAGGACCTGGGGGATGTGGAGGTGCTTAACCTGGGCAACAACTCCCTGGAGGAGGTACCGGATGGCCTGCGGAGCCTGTCTATGGGCAACCTTCACGTCCTTATCCTGCGCAGGAACAAGTTCCTCAACGTGCCCTCTGCTGTGTATGAACTAGGTAGGCTGACAGAGCTGGACATGAGTCACAACCGACTGGGCTGTCTGACCGAAGCAGTGGGCTTATTGAGCCAGCTGAAGAAGCTGTGCTTGAGTCACAACAAACTGCAGACTCTACCTAGGCAGATGGGCTCCTTGGTGCACCTAGAGGAGCTGGATGTGAGCTTCAACCGTATCAGCCAGCTACCTGACACTATGCAGGGCCTTCCCCGCCTTAGAGTCCTGGATCTGGACCACAACGAACTGTGCAGCTTCCCTCAACAGCTCCTGCATCTCCCAGCGCTGGAGGAGCTGGACTTCTCTGGCAACAAAATGCTCGGTAGCGACTGTGGCGGCTCGTTGCCCCATGGCATCAGAACCATGAAGTTATTGAAGGTCTTGTGGTTGAGTAGCACTGGGCTCTGCTCCTTACCGGACTCCTTCTGTAGTTTGGGCAGCTTGGAAAGCCTCATGCTGGACAACAATAACCTCTGCTCCTTGCCCAATGGCTTTGAGGAGTTGCAAAAGCTGAGGATGGTTAACCTGTCTTCAAATGCCTTTCAGGAGTTTCCTAAGGCTTTGCTTCAACTGCAGGACTTGGAGGAGCTGTACATGAGCCGTAACAGACTGACAGTGGTACCAGAGGGCATCTCCAGCTTGTTCAGGCTGGTAACCTTGTGGTTGGATAACAACAGAATAAGGTATCTGCCTGACACAATAGTGGAGCTCGGCTTGCTGGAGGAGCTTGTGTTGCAAGGTAACCAAATAGCAATTCTTCCGGACAACTTTGGGAAACTCTCCAAAGTCAACATCTGGAAGATCAAAGACAACCCTTTGATTCAACCTCCTTATGAGGTTTGTATGAAAGGGATCCCTTACATTGCTGCATATCAGAAAGAACTAGCCAATTCACAGCCGGCAGTAAAGCCAAGGTTAAAATTAGTCCTCTCAGGCCAGAAGGATGCCGGCAAAACTATGCTTAGACATTGCCTCACGGATGGTCATCAAAGCAGCTGTATACAGGGAAATACAGGGATTGAGGTCACTAACTGGACAGCTGATGTAGAACGGGGACTAACATTTATTGTGTATGAGTTAGCTGGGGACCAGAGTTATGACATAATCAATCCTTTCTTCCTCTCCCCTGGTGCTCTGTATATCCTTGTTGTTAATTTAAAGTCTTATGTTTCTAGGCATTTTTATAAATCTGTAGGTTATTTTCTACATTTTATCAGTGCCAAGGTACCTCATGCAGTTGTATGCATAGTAGGGACTCATGCAGACTTGTGCGAGGAAAAGGAGATCGAGGAAAAATGCCTTGATATCCACCACCAGATTTCCCTGCAGGAAAAGAAGGATATGGAATCCCTACAAAATCTGGCACAGACTGTTGATGAAGCCCTTAGCCAAAATTATGACATGCGCGTGTCAAACCCTCATGCAGCTTTTTATGGTGTTAGTGATAAGAACCTGAGGAGGAAGAAAGCTCAGTTGCAATATTTAATGAATAATCGTCTTCAGATTCTCTCACCTGTCCTCTTTGTCAGCTGCCACGATTATTCAAACATCAGACGCTTGCGAGACAAACTCCTTTCTGTGGCTGAACACAGAGAGATTTTCCCAAACCTGCATAGAGTTCTTCCCAAATCCTGGCAAATGCTGGAAGAATTGCACTTTAAACCTCAGGAGCTCTGGTTGACATGGTGGGACTCGGCAAGGCTAGGCCTACAAGCAGGGTTGACCGAGGACCGGCTGCAGAGTGCCCTGTCTTACTTGCATGAGAGTGGGAAGTTGCTCTATTTTGAAGACAATGTGACTCTTAAAGAGTATGTTTTTCATAATCTGACAAAACTGATTGACATTTTGAATGTCTTTTTCCAGAGAGATGCATCTGTTCTGCTACAAAAGCTAATGAGTGACTCTAAGATAGATGAGTTGAGGGCCACACAGCTTCATCATTATGTAGAAGGTTTTCTTCTTCATGGACTTCTGCCCACTCATATCATTAAACTACTGCTTAAACCACATATCAAAACCCAAGAAGACTTGCAGCTTATTCTTGAACTTTTGGAAAAGATGGGCCTGTGTTACTGTATCAATAGATCCAAATCCAAACCATTAAATGGGGCCACGGCTTGGTATAAATTCCCATGCTATGTGAAGAATGAAGTACCTCATGCAGAAGCCTGGATCAATGGTACCAACATATCAGGACAATCTCTAGCAGTAGAACAACTACAGATAGAATACAACTTTCCATTTATATTTCCCCCTGGCTTGTTTGCCCGCTTTAGCGTTCACATTAATAATCATGTTGTGCATCGCTCAGATGGTAAATTTCAGATCTTTGCCTATAGGGGAAAAGTGCCAGTTGTAGTGAGCTTTCGTCCTTCCAGAGGAGCCTTACAGTCAGACGTTTTGTCTATTGCCAGCCATGCGTCATTGCCTAACATATGGACTGCATGGCAAGCTATAACACCCTTGGTTGAAGAACTGAATGCACTATTACAAGAATGGCCCGGCCTTTACTACACAGTACAAGTTCTATGTTCCAAGTGCCTTAAAAGGGGGTCACCCAATCCACACACCTTCCCAGGTAGGTTTAATGTCATCTCTATGTGTTTGTGTGCATATATGACTTTGTTTAGTCACTGTCTCCTTTGCATTTTGGATATAGCCGTTAATAACATTTTCTCAGTTTAATTGTATATGCAGTTATATATTTGTACTGAGCAGTTAACATACGCTACCTTGAAGTGATCATTTATGGACAAATAATGAGAATGTCAGAGAACATGTATACATTGCAGATTTTAGATATGCAGTTCTGCAGACCACACCATGAAACCCAGTGCAGTAATGGAAGACGTTTAGGTGTATGTGAACTGTAGTAAGTTTTGTTGAGCAGCTGTGGATCCCTGTTTGATCTCCAAGCATTCATTCACACTTGACCATAAACATAGCCAGGTGATTTAGATGCTTTTTTTAATTCATGCCAGTTGTGGTATAGGAGCAGAGTCGCATGTTTTTGGCAACCAAGACATTTAAATGAGAGCACCTAAAAAGCTTGTGTAAATGTGTTTCTCAGGGGCTGTTGTTAAAATCTATGGGTACAAAAATGTATGATTTTGCCCCAAGGAAGCTCATGCACCTGTTTGAGCTTCACGTGACATGCAACAAGTGACACAAAGCTCAGGTGTGAACAAGCCTATTGAGATTAATGGGATTCTTCATCTTGAGCATTGCAGCACAACAGGAATTGAAAAATAAAGGTGTGAAATGGGGCTAATAGTGTACAATTGTTTAGCTGTGTGATCAGGGCAGCGTAATCACTGGTGTGTGGGTTAGATACAACTTACCCTAGGTTCACACCTAAGCGTTTTCTGCAACGTGTTGCAGAAATGTAGTACAGTCTATTTATTTATTTCAGGTAGTTATATAGCGCCGTCAATTTACGAAGCACTTTACATATATATTGTACATACATATCAGTCCCTAACCCTCAAGGGCCGTACAATCTAAGGTCCCTAGCTCACATTCATACATACACATACTAGGGCCAATTTAGACAGGATCCAATTCACCTACCAGCATGTCTTTGGAGTGTGAGAGGAAACCAGAGTACCCGGAGGAAACCCATGCAGTCACAGGGAGAACATGCAAACTCCAGGCAGGTGGTGCGGATTCGAACCAGCGACCCTAGTACTGCCAGGCGGAAGTGCTAACCTTTTAGCCACTGTGCTGCCCATTTAACATGATTTCCTATGGGACATGTTCACATCTCCGTGTTTTCACCGGTGCGTTTTTTGGAAAGGGTCAGTGACATTTTTGAAGTTGCTTTTTTGGTTATATAGACTTCAATTAAAATGCTGCAGAAAAGCATGTAATGCATTTTTGCACCATTTTTGATGCGTTTTGTGTTTCTAAATATGCCTAGCAACCAGAAAATGAAAATAGAAAAAAAAAATGCAAACGCATAAAAAAATATCAAAAAGTGCAAAAATGCAAAACGCAACACTAAACACAATGCAGAAACTGGTCAAACACAATCTGCATAGGTGTGAACCTGGCCTAATGGAGTAAGTGCCCAATGTGGCTCACAAGCTACAGTCAGGATTCACTCTGCCTTATCTGGTCATGTCATCGTTAAAGTGATATTAAAGGGTAATTTTTTTTCTTTAAATAACAAACATATCATGCTTACCTGCTCTGTGCAGTGGTTGTGCACAAAGCTTCCCTGTTCTTCTTGGGTCCCATGCTGGTGCGCCTCCCCTTTGACCAGTGCCCCAATAGCAAGCCTTTTGCTATGGGGGGATTGGTGAGTGCTCACTCCTGAGCCCCCGCTCTACGCGTTCATAAGACACATAGAGCCTAGTTTCGGCTCCACCTTGTTGGCTCACCGACTGTGATTGACAGCAGTGGGAGCCAATGGCTCCCACTACTGTGACTCAGCCAATGAGGAGAGAAAGACACGGGACAGCTAACGCTCCTGTGCACATCTCTGGATTGAGAAGGTATTTGGGTTAGTATTAGGGGGGCTGGGGGGGGGGGCAGCACACAGAAGGTTTTTACCTTCATGTTTAGAATGCATGAAGGTAAACAATCTTCAGCCTTTATAACCATTTTAAGCTTTCTTGAAGCACTAGGGCTGATTTACTAAAGGCAAATGGATGGTTTACTTTGCAAGGTAATTTTCCCCAGAGTTTAGTGAATGTGGTGAAAATTCACTTTGCAAATGATACCCAATCACGAACCAAAAATTAAAAAAAACCCAGTATTTTCTCTTGCACATGATTAGATGATGAAAGTCAATAGCGCTTGCCCACAGCCACTAAGGAAAGGCAAAATTCCCTTGCAAAGTGAACAGCCTATTTGCATTCAGTAAATCAACCTCAATGTGTAGTATCTCTCCATGACCCCAAGTAGTTATGTTAGTAGTATGTAGTAATATGTTAAAGTAGTTGTAAAGCCTGAATGTGTTTTTATCTTTATGCATTCTTTGCATGAATGTAAAAAACCTTCAGTATGCAAGCTCCCCACGCAGTCCCCCCTAATGCTTACTTGAGCCCGATCCTGATCCAGCGATGTGCACCAGAGCGACTGCTGTCATGGCTGTCTGCCTCCTCATTGGCTCATTGTCAGTCACAGCCAGTGAGGTGAGGGTGGGGCCAAGCCCCATTCTCTAGGAGGCACAGAGCCAACTTGGGAGTGAGCACGCACAAGTGCCCCTTTAGCAAGTGGCTTGCTATGGGGGCACTCGGCAGGGGGGAGGAGCCCAGAGTGGCGACAGGGGACCTGAGAAGAGGAGGATCAGGGTCGCTCTGTGCAAAACCCTTGCACAGAGCAGGTAAGTATGATATATTTGTTATACAAAAAAAAGAAAAGCCTTTAGTATCACTTTAAAGAAATTATTATTGAGAAAAATATGGAGGTCATAGCTGATTTTCTAAAAATATTAGTTACCTGTTGTTCATGCTGATCCAGCAGCTTTGGAACTTAGATTCAACCCTAAACTAGTATATTAATCTGAAACTTTTTCCTGTGGTTAGCTTTGTAAAAAGGGATGGTTATTAATTTGAAACTTAATTCTGGAGAAAAGAAAAAAAAAACATTGCAATGGGGTTCCCCTGGACTGCAATGCAAAGATTGCATGCTTGTTTATGCTTAGGGTACACATAACAAGAATTTTTATTTTAAAAAGTTATTCTTTGCTCCCCCTGGCAACCAGCGCTGATATCTCCCTGGTGCTCCAGCTTGTTTGAGATCCTTCAGTGTCCTTGGCTATTTGCACTGCATTGTACTTAACCTGACAGTGCCTTCTACCACTGAAAAGTCAGGGAGAAGGCTATAGGCCCTGGCAGCGATAGGGTAAGTAAATGTTCTTGTTAGGCATAAATAAGCATTTAACCCTTGCAGTGCAGGGGGATCCGCATTGCAAGGGATATTTTTTTTATTTTCCCTGAAGTTCAGCTTTAACAGTAAGCAGTGACCACATAATTTTAATGAATTGTTGCAACTCCAGTGCTTTCCTCCCAAAGACAATCAGGCAATGATATTGATTGTACATGTATAGCTATAGGTATTTTCAGGCCTAAACAAATGGCAAATGTAACATACACTATATTGCCAAAAGTATTGGGACACCCCTGCAAATCATTGGATTCAGGTGTTCCAATCACCTCCATGGCCACAGGTGTATAAAATCAAGCACCTAGGCATGCAGACTGCTTCTACAAACATTTGTGAAAGAATGGGTCGCTCTCAGGAGCTCAGTGAATTCAAGCGTGGTACCGTCATAGGTTGCCACCTGTGCAATAAATCCATCTGTGAAATTTCCTTGCTACTAAATATTCCACGGTCAACTGTTAGTGGTATTATAACAAAGTGTAAACAACTGGGAACAGCAGCAACTCAGCCACGAAGTGGTAGGCCACGGAAAATGACAGAGCGGGGTCAGTGCATGCTGAAGCTCACAGTGCGTAGAAGTTGTTAACTGTTTGCAGAGTCAATAGCAAAAGACCTCCAAACTTGGTGTGGCCTTCAGATCAGCACAACAACAGTGCGTAGAGAGCTTCATGGAATGGGTTTCCATGGCTGAGCATCTGCATCCAAGCCTTATATCACCAAGTGCAATGCAAAGCGTCGGGTGCAGTGGTGTAAAGCGCACCGCCACTGGACTCTAGAGCAGTGGAGAAGTGTTCTCTGGAGTGACCAATCACACTTCTCTGTCTGGCAATTCAATGGATGTGTCTGGGTTTGCCGGTTGCCAGGTGAATGGTACTTGTCTGACTGCATTGTGCCAAGTGTAAAGTTTGGTGGAGGGGGATTATGGTGTGGGGTTGTTTTTCAGGGGTTGGGCTTGGCCCCTTAGTTCCAGTGAAGTGAACTCCTAAAGCGTCAGCATACCAAGACATTTTGGACAATTTCATGCTGCCAACTTTCTGGGAACAGTTTGGGGATGGCCCCTTCCCATCCCAACATGACTGCGCACCAGTGCACAAAGCAAGGTCCATAAAGACATGGATAAGCGAGTTTGGGGTGGAGGAACTTGATTGGCCTACACAGAGTCCTGACTTCAACCTGATAGTACACCTTTGGGATGAATTAGATAACATTCCTATAGACACACTCCTAAACCTTGTGGACAGCCTTCCCAAAAGAGCTGAAGCTGTTATACCTGCAAAGGGTGGGCCAACTCAATATTGAATCCTATGGACTAAGACTGTGATGCCATTAAAGTTCATGTATGTGTAAAGGCCGGCATCCCAATACTTTTGGCAATATAGTGTAAGTATGACTGTGTTGTATTTGGAGCATATAAGGCACATGTAATGTCTATGTACTTTGTATATGGCTGACAATAGTATATACATGTGTTCCTTTTATGGAAAATTGACTCTACTTATGAACAGCTGCATGTCTTCCTAATAGCAACTCTTGAATGTGTTCTTTCTTTTCAGGTCAATGACCTCAAATGTACACAGTATGTTTTAGATAAAACATTGGTGTAGTTCCACAAATAATATTTTTTGTTTGCTCCTGTGATTATCAGCTGCACTATTAGCATGCCTAATATTGATGACGAGTAAGGGCTTTCTAAAAACAAATGGTACAATGTTGCCAGTTTTTATATAAATCTTATTCATATTTCGGTTTTCAGGCCATTTTTAAAACCTTCCATTATCTGTCCCTGTTACATCTAA